GGGAAGAAGAATGGGAGACCCATGCCGTGCTTGATGATAGTGTCATGATACACCTTCGCTATTTCCAACCGCCGCACGGAGGACCATGGAGGTGCGTGGAGAGATTCCATAGAGTCGTGCCGGAAGAAAATGAAGAAGAAATGATGGAAGGAGGAGAAGCCCAAGGTGGAGAGCCCGAGGGAGGCCATGAGGAGCACCATGAGGAGGCGGCTCACGTACCTCAAGCCGGAACTCATTACGACATGGACTATTTGACCGAACAATTCGGTCAAATTCATACGGAGCTTGCGGTTCATCGACGGGATTTGCGGGACCAAAGGCGGGCTATTGAAGGCATGGGGAGTCATCTTTGGAACATGAACTACTATTGCCAAGAGTTAGGGCGGCACTTCAGCATTCCACCACCGCCACCTTATGACCCGCACTTTTATTTCCCTCCCCAAGGAGATGGAAATGAAGGAGATGAGTAGGTTACGAAAAGGGAAGTGTACTAAAAATACTAAACTTGAACCACCTTTTCTTTGTTTTTCTTTAAACTCCTTGTGCTACTTTTGTGCCTATTATGTGTTGTTTGATTGCTTATTTTCTTGCTTTGCATTTAATTACTCTTGTGCTTCACATTGGGACAATGTGGAATAAGTGTGGGGGGGTGACTTTATACTTGAAAAAAAAAATGTGCAAGGTTTTATTTGAAAAAAATTGTTCATTTTTGGTCCTTATTTTTTGAAAAATATTTTAGCAAAACCCTTGTCCTTCAAACCCTTTTTCAAAAGAAACTTTTCTTAAGGTTTTGCCTTAATATTTTCATAGAAAGTTTTGAAATTTGCTTGAGGACAAGCAAAGCTCAAGTGTGGGGGTATTTGATAAGCGTTTTATTAACGTGTTTTACACAATCATTTATAAACGCTTTTATACTTAAAAGAATTAAATCTTCACACATATGCCTCGTTTTGCTAGAAGTTCTTTAAATCAACAAATGGATCAAATGCAAGGATGGTAGAATACACACGAAGAAACCGACGGAAAAAGGTCAACCAAACGCATCCCGAGGACCAAATAAAGACCACAAAAAGGCCCAAGACAGACGAAAGCCGCCCGGGTTATGCCAAAGGCGGCCGGCCTTTGGTCCCCAAGCTTATTTTCTCGTCCAAAGCTGAAAAATCTGACCCGGAGCAAGAAAGGACGAAAGCCGCCCGGCTTTCGTGAACACCGGCCGACTTTCGGTCGCCGAAAGAATAGTTCAGAATTTAATTACAAAAGCCTCCCGGCTTTTGTAAATGGCGGCCGGTTTTCGACCCCTGGAGCGGATGAGCAGTATTTTAAACGCGCAAAAGCCGCCCGGCTTTTGCGAATGTCGCCCGGTTTTCGTCTGGCACTGATTAAAACAGGCAACGGTCATCACAATCATTCGAGAGAAGCTCCAAACCCCATTAAGGAGCTTGCTTCCTTGTCAAAAAATGGCCGTTGAAGACCCAATATTTAAGCATATGGAAGCCCTCTCAAGTGATTATTCCATATTCCATACACTTTACTTACACTTTAGCACTCCAAGATCAACCCCTTGGTCTTGGGAGAAGTTCTACACTTGGGGATCCCATTATCCACCATAGCTTTGGAGTTGTGGTATTATCTTCTTATGTATTTCATTGTATTTCATCATTTCAATACTTGTAATTTCATTATGAGTTGTTCTAGCTAATTTTCCATAGCCAAGGTTAGGGATGAAACTTTACGCACTCTAGGTGTTTGATGTATGTTCTCAACCAAATTATTATGATCTTTCCTTTATATTTTAATGTGTATGACTACGGTGTACAACGTATGATTATATCGTTGGGTTTATTTGAGCAATTAACGTTGAGTTATAAACCGTGCACTTAAAGGCTAGACATATTCTAATTGTGGATAGAAATATACCTCAATTGAATATGGTGGTTGTAATAATGTCCTAATCTTCAATGGGGTTAATTTTAGATGAATGTGAACCGTGACGGGATTCACACGTAGAATTAATCACAATCTCGCTGCCGTAACAGGAGTTAGAATACTTTAGCGACATTCCACTCATAAGAATTGGTGAAAGAATATACATTAATCGCTAGGAGTCGTTTAGGAGTAATCCCGAACCCTTGGTTGCTTTTATTATCACTTGAAAAACCAAAAATCTTTACTCTTTTACCAAGTCTTTTACAAATTATATTCTTAATTTTTGAATCATATAAACAACGTTTCCTCGTGTTCGACTCGGTATTTTTACCGGATTTTATTACTACATCGGCACTTGTACACTTGCAAGTTTAAGCCGATCAATGAGAAAGCGATGCAACAACTAAAGGAATACACGACGACACCTCCACTACTGATGAAACCTAAAGATGACGAGGAGCTACAACTATACATGGCGGTATGAGAACATGTTGTCAGTGCAGTCTTGACCAGAGAGGAAGATGGATAACAAACCCCAATTTACTATGTAAGTAAATCGTTAAATGTCCCAGAATCCAGGTGCGCACTTCTAGAAAAATTAGTGTTAGCATTAATTATGGAATCTGCCAAATTACGCCCTTATTTCGAATCACATACCATTTGTGTCCCCACTAACTATCCCATGAAGTCAATCATGAGGAAACCAGAATTGACAGGTCAAATGGCGAAATGGTCAATTAAATTGGGGGCATATGACATTAGTTACGAACCCAGAAAAGCTTTAAAGTCACAATCCTTGGCTGATTTTGTGGCAGACTTCAACCCTAAACTACAAATGGAGGCTGAAAAGAAAACATGTCTACTCGTAGAGGGGAAACCTTGACAGAAATGGACGTTTCATATCGACGGAGCCTCAAACATGCACGGAGCAGGACTAGGTGTAGTGCTGAAGTCACCACAAGGCGGCGCCATATTACAAGCTGTCCGGTGTGACTTTGACGCAACAAAAAACAAAGCAGAGTACGAGGCATTAATCGTCAGATTAAACTTAGCCCATGATCTGGGCATAAAGATACTCGAGGTAAAATGTAACTCTCTTTTAATTATTAATCAAACTAACGGAGTTTATGCTGCTAAGGATCCAAAGATGACGACTTACCTTCAAGTTGTCACGGAATTGATCACCTTTTTCGACGTGATCACTTTTGAAGAAGTCCTAAGAGAAGGTAACACTCGGGCATATGCGTTGGCAGCAGTTGGATTATGTCTGGGGGGCAGAGAGCAATGACAACATACCTTTCATCCATTTGATGAGGCCTGCCATCGACAAGTCTGAGTCTGACAACATCATTGAATCAACTACGGACAACAACCGGATGCAATCGTATCTAGATTACCTGAAACACAACATTCTCCCAACCGACAAGAGGGAAGCAAGAGCACTTTTGTCTACGGCAACAAAATTTTGATTAATTGATGATGTGTTATTTAAGCGTTCAAAAACAGAACCATATCAGAGATGCTTAACACCACACGAAGCTGTCAACGTGCTCAAGAGTCTTCACGAAGGAGAATGCGGCAATCATGTTGCTGGTAGAAGTTTATCTAACAAGACTTTGAGATTTGGTTACTACTGGCCAGCAATGAGACATAATGATGCCCTTTTTACTCAAACTTGTCAACCTTGTCAAAAGCACGCGCCCGTTCGCCACCAACCTTTAGAATCACTTCACCCTGTATTGTCACCATGACTGTTCATGAAGTGGGGAATGGATATCGTTGGAAAGTTGCCCGAAGCACATGGGAAAAAGGTCTACATGTTAGCAATGCCTGACTACTTCTCAAAATGGATTGAAGCAGAACCTTTCCGTCAAATTTGAGACGTCCATGTGATATCTTTCATAAAAAGGAATATCTTGAGCAGATTTGGTATCCCATTAGAAATCGTTTGTGACAAGTAGATATCCACAGTCTAAAACAAGACGATTTTGTGAGAAGTACAACATCAAACTCGAGATGTCGACACTTAGCTATAGATATCCACAGTCAAACGGACAAGCCGAATCAAGTAACAAAATCATCATGTCAAACCTAAAGAAATGGTTTGAGAAAGCACAAGGGAGATGGGCTAACGAGTTACCTCTGATTTTATGGGCAAACAGGACGACACCAAAGAATGCTACCGGACATACACCTTTTTTCCTTGGTTTATGGGTGCGAAGTAGTCATTGTAGTCGAGGTCGAGGTACCATCATCTAGATATGGGCTCATCACGGAAGAAAGAAGCAATGTGGAGTTGGTGCACAACCTAGACACCATTGACGAATTGAGGGAAAAGCTAAAAACCCAAATGGAGATTACCAACAAAAAGTGGCGAAAAGTCACAACAAACATGTATGGGCCAAAGTGGTCAAAAAGGGAGGCTAGGTGCTCAGGAAGTCGTTTGGTAATGGGGAAAGTGGAAAACTCAGCCCTAATTGGCCAGGTTTTACATAATTTGAATCATTTTTGTTTCTTTACTATCTTGATCGTTGAAGGGCTGTTAGCCTAAAGCCAATGGCCAACTTAGTCATAATCCAGATGTCAACCGGAAACAGTAAATTGACGGAGGTTAATGAAGTATTACACATATCTTTTAAACAATTTTTTTATATTATTATATTAATGTCATTGATTTTGTTGTCCCTTGATACTTTCTCAGAGTTACAAAACTATTAAGTCATTAAAAAAGTAGTATCCTTTAGACAACATCTCATTATTAATATCAACATATTTGATTTTATTAATTCTTAATTACTAACTTAAGCATCAGAGGGTCGTTGGCTTTCAACCAATGGCCAAACACTGACAACATGTTTAAGTGCAGGATGTCGACATGACAAAACAAGAGACAGTTGGTGTTGTACACAACTGAAGACAATCGCCGACAACAACTATGCACATTCCCTTACTACATCAACAAGGGACAATAAGGCTAGTTTGGGTCCTTCATAAATAAAATATGAAGTGCGGATCGATAAGCCCTATAAGTTTTGGCCAAAACAACAACAGATCACCTGAAGCAATATTGACACCAACATATAAGCATAACCTTTGCATGCATACGACAACACGATGTTTAAGACTTTTTAGCAAACCAATAAGTAGACGAAATCAAGTTAAACCGTCAGATGTTTGTGACACTTCTAATTACAAAGACCACCGAACGCCGAATAAACTACCAGTCGGTGTGGTCATAAAAGTATTCAAGCACTCAAAAATTAAAGTGTTCAGGCAAAAAGGATTGTTTAAATAAAAACTAAGCAACCACGTCAAGACTGAGGTGCAGGGGCAGACTCAACCTCGGTATCAAATGCACCCAAGTCAAAGCCGTCATCACCTACCGGGGGTTCAACTCCTTCAAAATGCTTCGTCCAAAGAGCGATGTCTTCCTCAGGTGTCCACTTGTTCGACTCACCAGCTAGAAATGATTTCATGATGTTCTTTTATTGTTTGCCAAGTGTAAAACCCTGCTGCATCTACCACTTCTTGTCTCTTCTTCCTGCCATACTCTTCAAGTAGCTTAAACGTACTCGTCTTGACCCTCAAATCCTCTCTTAACTCGTCAATCACCCGAGCTTGAGATGCTACCTTATCCTCTAGATTGAAATTCAGTTGTGCAAGATTAGAGAGTTTTTCTTTTGCCTCCTCTTCAGCACATCGAGATGATATCAAATCACTCTCCAAAGCTTGTAGACGCTTGGCGTCAGCCAAATTGGTTTGTATCAATTGAAATTTATAAATAGGAGACAGAGTATGATGCATCATTCAGGCATAAAAAACAAAATGAGCTACAAGTGAGAATTTAGACTTACCTAGAAATGTCAGAGCTACAAATGAGCTACAAGCCAGAGCTGAAGATGTCGACAAAATGTCAACATTAGTAAAACCAGAGAAGACATTGATAGCAGGGGGAAGGAGCATCTGGGCAACTTCGTCTTTCATCTTCAGTGCATTGTCAAGGCGGCAAAACTCTGAGGAGAATTCAAGCTTCAAAGGGGTAATTTCGTTCGAGATGGAATCTGTCTTAGGAAGCAGAGATGGAGGCGGCAAGGAACAAGTTGTCGCCGGAGCAACACTGGTAGAAGAAGGAAGTGGGGGATCGAGGGCTCTACGCAGACCAAAAGAAGATGAGGCAGCTGTGTCGAATTCCAAACATTCATATAAAAAAACACAACAACAACAACAATTACAAATGGCAACAACAACAGCAGAAAATACCAGTAACGTGCGCAGAAGGAACAACGGGGGAAGGAGCACGAAACACCGAGGCACATTCTTCTTTGATAGGCTGAACGTCGACATCTCTAGTAATGCTCACCACATCATCATCCTTTTCAGAACTTTCAAAAGAAACTGCTGACAAATCTTGGGATAAACCGGGGGATTTAGACATATTCCGAGAAGAACATCGTAAACAGACATGAATGGGGCTGATAGAAGGAGACTTAGTGGTCATACCTCGAAATTCTGGCTTGAGGTTCGAGTAAAGGCTGGCTTTAGGGTTTAAAGCCAGGAAGCATTGGTCCTTTCCTTTGCCGTAGGACCAAATTCTAGAGGGATAATTTTCACTTCTCCTACAGAAAGAAAAAGGAGCTATATGAGCATGAAAACGAACCATTAATAAAGATTTCATATTCGTTTAAGCAAGAGAAGACAAAACGCACCTGCAACTTTCAGACGGTCGGAAAAAGGCTTCTGGGCTCGCCCAATGTCGATCTTTCGATGAAGAAGAATTTGATCAACTAGCCTCTGTTATTCGCGTTATCAATGCCCAAAATCAGGGGTTCCATACCTGGTTTAATCTTCAATATGAATCTCCCTTTTCCCGATGTTCGTAGGTCATAAGTAAAGCCCAAATCCGCAGAAGTGAAGGACAAATCTTCCTTTTCAATAAGGAATTTGAATGAGTAAAAAAGTCTCCATGTTTGTGGCATAATCTGGCAAGGAGATACTTTAGCGAGGGTGGTGAAGCCACTTACCAACTCAGAGAAGGGGAATCGTACACAGAGCTTCTCAAACGGGTATTGATAAAAGTGGACCCAACCAGGACAAATCCAATCTACGTGGTGTGTAGCATATAATGGGCATGCAACTATTTTTTTACCCAAGGAAGTAGGGTGTCGAACCACAGAGAAGCGGGAAATAAAATAATTAAGCACAAACTAAGGATTAAAGTTGGGAGTGCATTTCTTTTGATTTTTTTTGGTTGCTTGGAAAAGTAATAAAATAAAAGTGATTGAGATGAGAGATTTTTATCAACACAAAGTTCAACCAATAGTAAGTAGGGGTAGAAATTGGTAACTAATTGTTCAATGTTTAATTGAAAGAAATAATTGCTAATTTTATTCGTAGATAGATTGTGAGAAGTTGTGGATAAATATTTTAGGACCCAACACAAGTCATCTAAAATAAGTAACTAGTCAACATTTCCCAGTGATGGCCAAAACGAGACTAGTTGTTTAAGTACAACGACAACCTTAATTATTAACTATATTATTTACCCAACCCCGTGGTGTAAATAATATAATTAAATAATTAAATTCTCCCGTAAAACTTCAATCCGGGACAAGGTAAAAGAAGTTTAACGGTGTGTTCAGAAAGTGTTCATTTGTGTATTTAACAAACAATATGTTTATGATTGAGTACTCATAATATATATCACAAACATAACATAATTAATTTCCTGGACACAACAATCTAAATAGAACAAACTTAACAATTAAAATCAATACAAATTAAAACATGATAAGAACAATTAATTAACCAATTTCTAGCCCCAAATTTATTTAGCTATACATGTTTGGAAGCATAGAAATAGATGAATTCATGATTGAAGTACAAGATTTAAAGAGATAAGGAAGATCAAACTTGTGATAGATGATAATCCTTGGAGCTTAGTGCTAATCTTGACTTAATCTTGATTGAGAAAGTGATTAATTGATGTTGAAGATTGGTTGATGATTTGGAGGTGAAGAATGAAGAGAGAAGGAGGAGGAAATGATTCTGGGAGGTTTAGAGAGAAGTTGGCTCGAGATTATGTGTGGAAGGAGATGGATTAAGCCTTATAATGATAAGATAATTAATCATTAATTTGCTGGAATTTACGAACGTGAAGAGTATATGTAAAAGAAAACGCAGTAAAGTTCCAACAGTGCGTAACAGCCCAGCGGACGAAGTGTTTTAAGCATGTAGCAGAGGTCGTGGGTTCGATTCTGGCTTCAGACTTTTGTTCCATTTTTTCTTTGATGTGGTCACAAGCAATATATAAACTGCCGGCTGATTATGTACAACATTGGCAAGTTAGCTCACTGGTTCTGAATGGCTTTCCTCTACCTGTGGTTCAGGGATCGAATCTCATCTCTGCGTTTTCATATTTTTGCTTCTTAACTTCAATTTACTCCTTATTTGCTTTGAAGAAATTCCACTTTTATTGACCTCCAACTTGAACTTTTATTTTCTTCTTTTCTTCACACACAAATGTATCAAATAGTATCAAAAGTACCTGAAAATACAAAATACATGCATAGAACTACACATCATACAAAGTAATGATAAATAATAAAAATATGTACAAATATACAAATTAAGTGACCAAAATTATTAACAAACTAAGCCTAAAAAGTGTGTAAAATACAAGCACATCACTACGCGTTCACCAAGTTCTGGATAGTAGATTCTCGCAGTAAGAGGAAAGCCATAAGATGATTCACTCTCTTTCTTATCCTTCACACGTAAGTCGCCGGCTGTAAGTTTTTTAGTTTCAAGGACGCATTGACTCTTGAATATGGCGGGTTCCATGGTAGCAGATGAGAATTCAGGCCTCGAAGAATGGAGTCGAGAATTGGGAGGGTTTGATGATGCGAAAGAAAGAGAAGTAATATGCTTTGAGCAAGAAAGGTTAGGTCAGTTCGTTCACTAAAGCTTCCCGCTTTACGAGGGATTTGTCAGTTATTGGGAAAGATGAAACGAGTGGGAGATTGCGAGAGTTCAAATTCATAATGATGACAGATTTCACACGCAAGTCAAAACGGCACCATAACGAATGGGAGAAAATGTTGGGCCCAGGAGAAATAATCATTCGTATGGGCCAATGGATCCTATCTTAGGAGCAAGGCGTTCGGCCCAATGACTCCAGAATCCACCTATGCGACGAAACAATGACTAAATGGTTTAAATTGAGGATAAAGACTAGGAGAACGGATAGCTGAAGACATGAGCCTATTTCGCAGGAGTGCCACCTATTTCGGTGGAAGGTTGGAGATAGTGCGTGCTTTGTTAGAGAATAAATAGAGAGACATCACATATTGTAAACACATTCACGATTAATTGCAATCAATGGCTATAATTTCGCTCTCATACCTTTATTCATATCTAAAACATTCAGTATTATCTAATTTATATACTTTGTCTATTATTCTTGATCAGTCTAGTATCGATTCATTCTTGCCCGTTTCCCATTTCATTCATATTCATAGAATAGTTTATTTTTAGCATAAACAGGGCTAGAAAGCGGTCGTATGGGACAGAAAGGGCCCGGTGAGACGAAATGGGCGACACTTATCGGGCTCTGCATAAGGGCAATACATTGAGCTCCTGAACAGTAGTGGACCTGATAATGTATCCCAACAACCTATAAATATAGAGGCTGCATACTGAAGAATTGGGTCACCGGAATGTAGAGCATCATAGCATAAATTTGAACACCTTAAGTTACCGTATAAGGGACGACATAGTGTCTTCCTTTTTTTCAATATGACTAAAATGTTTAATTGGGGAAGAGAGAGAAGAGCGGACGTTGGAGGTATCCATAGAAGAAGGGTGACAGATGAGAACGGAGGAGACTAGGCGGAGGAGTGACAATGAGAAGAGAAAGTTTTTTTGTTTTAACGTGGAATTGCGGATTGGATTAAATCTAGAATTTATGACTACTTTTGAAATAAATGTGAAAAAACTAAAATTTGTTATATGAAAAATATTTTACAAGTGGACATAAATGAAATTTTCGGCCCAAAAGTCTCGGCCCCACACTCTATAGTCCCTGACCCGTTCTTCTTCCATTCCCGCGACCCACAATAAGTAAGACGGTTCTCATTATACTCATGTAATAACTTTCAACATGTACAATTGTAGTCCAGAGCTTCACGATCCTCCCTCTAAAAACTAAATGAAATTGAACCTATAGTTTACCATGCACATCAAACACTCCTGCAGAATTAGGGGTAAATGCATAAACGATGCCTTAATAATTGGTATTGTTACATTTGCTACATTAACTCTTATATGAAACAAATGACTACCATAGCTATACTTAAATGTATCAAACAATAATGTCACTCAGATTTTGAGCCAAAAATCTCACATGGTAGCCATAATTTCATACGTACAATCCACTGTACATTGGTAGTCGTAATTTGTAATGGGCTGTATGAATAGAATTTCAGCCACCAAATAATTTTTTTGGCATAAATTTGAATAGTAATATTTGTTGAAACATTTAATTATAAATATGGTAGTGATTTATTTAGTTTATTTTAGAGTTAAGTCATCAAAGTTCAACAATACCAATTACCAATAATTAAGGTAGTGTTTATATATGCATTTGGCCCCACTCATGTGCCTTCCACTACCAAAGTAAAGCAAATGTCAAGTGTGTTTTGGGCAAACATAACCTATTTCCTCACATATCACTCTTATCTTTTCTTCTCGAATTAAAACCATAGTACTTATATTTTAGGAAGTTTTTTATTAATCCAAATAAGTCATCTTTATTTTGGTCATATTTATGTAATTATTTCTTTCTTTTGCTACCCTGATCATGATATAATTGAGTAAATTGACCTTTTACCGTTGTGTCCGTTTGTTCGAGTAACTTCAATATCATAAAATATATAATCCATATATACTACTCCCTCCGTCCCGCTAAGATTGTCTCAGACACTATTCACTTGGTCAACACAAATCACTCTTAATCTCTTACTTTATATATCAAATTTTTATCAAATTTGATTCTGGTTTTTGCGACTTTGTAAAACTTTTAATGTAGTTTCAAAATATGTATTTTTTTTGTAAAAATAATTTGAGTGCTAACATGGATCAGTTTGTTTTATCATCGATCAAATATCGTAAACCGAATGGTCCCAAACATAGTGGGACGGATGTAGTACTATGTATAAGAGTCTGCTGCGCTGAAAGAAACATATACTTGATTCGTAATAATCCAAAATCCAAATTAATCACACACAAACTTGTTGTTGAGCTAGAGCCATCCAATGAGCTCACTCATTGTTATTCATACAAATACATATACACACATACACATATATATGCTCAAACTTGCGGAATGGGAACTCACTCACTGCATAAAAGGATAATTAAACTTATTCGCGGGCGAATTATTATATAAAACATACGGTGTTTATTTTAATTGAATAACACTGCTAAATATAAAAGAATTATATTTAGCAAGGTTTAGTGCAGAAGCATCGGCGGCGGAAGCCGTGGCAATGGCCGCCGTGAAAGCCCTCAGTGTGGCAGACGGAAGCACAGTTGTGGTCACTGGCACATAGCCCCTTGAACTTCTGGCTCAGTGATTGGCACGTCCTGTGCCCTTCTGCAACTCTTATGATTGTGCCCATCTCTACGTCCATGCAAATTGAAACTAATTAATGGTCAAAGTTCGTAAAATTTGCCTTGTATAGTCAAACTGGGAATTTAATTATGAGATAGGATGTTTTCTTTTGGACTGAAATTTGCTGGTCTGGTCTGGTCTGATCTGGTCTGGTCTGGTCTGTTTAAGTCTGGTCTGGTCTGATCTGAACTGGTCTGGTCTGGTCTGGTAAACGTCTGGTCTCTGTGTATTTTATATCTATCCAAGTGTGGTCTGGTCTGGTCTGTTTAAGTCTGGTCTGATCTGGTCTCATCTGTTTAAGTCTGGTCTGGTCTGATCTGGTCTGGTCTGGTCTGGTCTGGGACTGAAAACAGTCCAAAAGAAAACATCCATAGAGGTAGGAGGTAGTTTTACAAGTATAAAAGAGATCAGAGATTGGCTGATTTAATAGTTAATCTCATTGATTGTTCATTATTCTTATTTTATTTGCATCAAAGTAAGGTTGGACTCATTTTTGCTATATCATTAACAAAAACTCAAATCCATGTATCTCTAATTATAATTGTAATTATAATTAGAATTGTTTTTAAGGAAAAGTAGAATTGTGTGGTTGATATTGAATTGATAAAGTGTAAATAAAGTAGGAATGAATTCTAACCACTCAAATATTACCTAATATGGTATGGGACAAACTCAATAGGATGGACGAAAAAGGTAAAACGAGACAAAATTAGGGGGACGGAGGGAGTATTATTAAAACATACCGAGTATATAATAGTTTTTTTTGCAAGGGAGTATATAATAGTTTTATTATTAATAACAATAGAAGCAGTAATAAACACTTGGTCAAATCAAAAGATTCAAATCAGATCATATCGAATCAAAAAGTTCGGATCAAATGGAAAGTTTATCAAAAAAAATCAGATCAATCTTAAAAAATTTAGATTATAAATATTGAGATGAGGTGATGAGAAGAGCTTAGTGTGGTAACTTTTGTGATGTTAGTCTCGTAATAGTAATACTTGCTTTCAAGTCGTAGTCTACTACGTTTAAGTTATGGGACATATCATGCAAGTCAGCAAAGTTACACTATAAGAGCATTTCTTGTTCTTCTTTTTACACATCTCACAATTTTGAAAGTGAATGAAACTTTATCTCTAATGCATTCTTTTAATAGCCCTACTAAATTGATATGGATCAATTTTTTCAAACCCCGCTTTTTTTATTCGAGAAAGAATGTGTAAGAATGTTTTTACTTGAACGGTTTTCAATCACAGAACAGACCAGACCAGACTTGATCAGATCAGATCAAATTTGGATAGTTACTTTATCAGACCACCAAATTTCAGTCCAACTAAGTTGACGAGTCATTAAATTGGTTAACTCTTTCCTATTATCCTTTTCTGTCATGTTTCT